GTGCGGTCTTGTATTTTCAAATTTTAAAATACTACTTTTTCCCAAATTATATATATATATATATGTATAATTAAAGCACGGAACTATAAGTCCTATGATGGTTGGTCGGCCCAAAAGGGATGAGAAAAACCTGAACCGAATATCAAGGGTTGGTTCCCATTGGAGCGGGAAATATCGCTCCCGCGTCATTCTCTCTAAGTGAGAGTAGCTTTGCTTTCATCACCACAAACACCTGAATCCCTGTGAAAAAAGTTAAATCAGCAATATTGCAAGTAATAGAAATATTATAATCTCCTCGCAAATCAATCTTTTAAGATTGACATTAATCCTCTTGACAACTCTAAATTGATAATCAGCTCTAGGCTTGAGTTTTCTAAATTAACATGTTAAAAATCGTTCCTTCCTAGTTTTATCCACACCAAACCAAACTAAAATGCCACCACTATGCAAATTTATTTTTAGAAAATATTGGCTCCATACAAATGATCCAACAAAATCATCTAATTGTGGAATAGAAAATCAGTACTTGATAATAATTTTGTTCACAACCCTACTAATGATGCACATTCATCAAGAGTTAACATTCTCAAATACAATCAAAACTGGAACTTCACACAGGTTAGCACTCACACAATCCAGACCTTTAGTTATCAAGTATGTAACTTGCTCTTGCAACTCCTTATGCTTGGATGCACATGTCCATAGGCATCGCAATTTGGGAGAACTGATCCTGATATGAAATCTATGGCAGTCGGATCTCTCTCAGTGCCGGTAATCGAATAGATAGACTGTCAGTCAAGATATCCAGAAACTCCTTCAATAGAGATTACAAAATATCTAGTATCGGCTCCTCAAACTCACTGCCTTCTAATATCACCAATGCTAGTAATATCAGTGCTTCTCTCAAAGCCTATAGAAAATTAGCATAGCAATATGGTCTCAAACTCTATGTGAATGCTCATTGCCTCGAACACGTTTCAAAAAAAGAACATCATGTGCATTCAAACTTTAGTTAATGAATGTATTCTTATAGTCGTCATGGTTTGTGCACCGATCATCTTGCAGGAATGGCCAATTAGGATGTGATAAGCATCAATATGTATCAAGTCACACCACACTTGCTCCTAAAACTTGTTCTAATAAAGAACTCTACTAGAAATCTCCTATTAATTGTGATCACATTCTCTTTCTTCAATCAATATAGGGAATAGCGTTTAGTATGCTTCTGTGTGGTAAAACTCAATTTGTCTAGCATTTAGGTAGGCACAATATTCTCACAACTACCTCCGTTAATGGTAAGACTGCACAGATTTCGTTCACAATGCAATGGATACGAAAAATATTACAGCATAGCCACGGTTGCTCTCTCTTGGGCTCGATCTAAAAGATTTGTCTAACCATTCATATTTCTCCTACATCTATGAGATACTAGTACATCTCCCTCACATTTTCATTTTCTCACATGTTCCCAAAGTCACTGTCTACAAATTCTACTTATCCTTGGTTAATGAAAAACAAAATCACTCCTCTATCCGGACAATCAGATGCTATGTGCCCAAAACCATATCACTTGATGAATTTTCTAGTAGGAAACTAATAGAACATAACAGCCCATCCTCTTCTATAACAGCATTTGTAACAACCTAATACAAATCTCCACACATTTCTTCCACACATTACTATATATATAAATGATAGTCTTACCCAGAGGGGTAAAGAAGAATACTCTTAGATTATGTATTACAATTATTGTTAATATTACAAAATTTTAGTCATTTCCCTCTTTTGAAAATCTCCTACTGTTAGATTTCAACTAGGTATCAGAGCAAGGTTCGGTACTCCTTTCTTCTTACATAATTCTTTTCCTACAACATTCTTACCCAATGGCTTCATCATCTCACTCAAATCAGAGTGAATCAACATGTCTACATCAGACTACCACAATTTCGATCCCACCCTCACTAATATTTCTGATCACCAACATCAAATCTCTTGCGAACACAGCTCTTACAGCTGATGACTATCCCATTTGGATGGAGTTCTCAAGTTCTCAAACTAATCACTGCTAATGGGTTTGAATGTTTCTTGACAGGAAATTCTACATGTATTCCTCAGCTTACCCTGCAATACATCCACTCTCTCTCCCAAACCAGATTACATTCAATAAAAATTTATAGAGCAAAATTTATCTACAGCAATATACTCGATCATCTCTCTCACTATACTATCTCATGTCCTCTTCTTTGACTCAACAACTGCCATATATACACTCACCAAATGCCTAAAATGCACCAACAGATCAAAGTCATTTAACTCAAAAATGAGCTTCATAAGGTCACCATGATGAACGAGACCGTGACCCAATATCTCACAACAAACGGTTTCATCAGTGGCACTTCTATAATAAAATAGTCGTAACTCTAGACCAGCAAACAGCCTGCAGGCATTCCTCTAAGACTTCTCAACCGTCCAGCAATACAAATATTGTGCAACAGCAAACCAAACCTCCAATTGCCTGTCAGATCTGCAGAAACTAGGGTCATTCTCCCTATACATGCTGGCACAGGACCAACCTATCATATATTCCTACAGCACCTAACAGCAATTCAGCACCTAAAAGGCATTCCTCTCAGACTTCTCGACCCTCCAGCACTACAAATAACATGCAACAGCAAACCAAATCTCCAGTTGCCTGTCAGATCTGCAGAAAGTGGGGTCATTCTACCAATACACGCTGGCACAGGACCAACCTGTATTATATTCCAACAGCACCTACAGCCATTCAGCACTGATAGATTCATCTTACACAACTAAAGACTGGATTCTGGACAGTGGAGAAACTTCTCATATCACCAACGATTACTCTCAGCAGCAGCAACCTACTGAATATACGGGAAAAGACCAAGTCACTGTTGGCGATGGCAACTCTCACCCCACACTCACACTGGCAGGGGAATCTTACCTACACCAACGCGTAAGCTCAATCTCTCTACATTACATCATGTCCCCTTACTCTCTCATAATCTTATTTCAGTTCATAACTTTACTCATGATAATCACTGCTCAATTCACATTGATACTGGAGGATTTTAAGAAAAGATCGAATATCAAATCAAACAATCCTTAGAGGACCATTCCAAGCATTCATGCTCTCCACTCAACCACAACTCCCATCAACCTATGGCATCAAAGATTGGGGCAATTGGAACACTTGCCCATTTTGCTGTTACAAATGCTGTTAGGATTCAACCAATTGAATCCTAAGTTTGAGGTGGGCTAACAGAATACAAACACCCATCATCTTCTATAAGAGCATTTGTAACATCCACATCCGCAAGTGGTCCCCATTGTCCTTATCATAACAACCTAATACAAATCTCACCACACATTTCAACATCACATTACTATATATATACATGATAGTTCCGCTGACGCAGGAGCTTTCCCGTGATAAATGTCAGCACAATCGCAGGATTAAGAACCTGTTTGGGGCAGCTTATAAGTGCAGGCGGCATTTTGAAAACGCCGCCATCCTGTTTGGTTCGCACTTATTCTCAAATTATCGAAAACGGAGTTTTAAATTTTGTAAAAGACGCGGACCGCAGGAGGACCCCCGCGGTCCATGTTTTCGATAGAAATATTACTCCCGTAACCCTGCCTCTTACGCATTAGCCCTCTGTCATTTCTCCTTCGCATTCGATCATGTTTCGTTCCCCGCAAAATTCCCTCAAGCAGACACTGACGCTGAGCCTTTCAGCTGCTTGCATGTCATCTTCTACTAAGATCACCGATTTCGATGCAGTAGTCGACGAATTGGAGTCGGATGAGGATGACCTAACCGCGTCGCCGTGGGAAGATGTTGTGGTTTACCGGCGAGATGCTTCGGTGACCCACGTCGAGTACTCGACCACCCTTGAGCGGTTGGGCCTAGATAAGCTCGCCTTGGTGCTCTCTAGGTCCAGGGCTTCTGCAATGGGGATCCGATTACCGGCCAAGATGGCGAGGGAGGCGACTTTGGCCAATGAGACGCCTGTGCTGACCTCCATCGATGTTACAAGCCGGAAGCGCAGGTTGAAACTCGACGGAATCTTGCGCACGATTATTACCCTTCGTTGCAACAGGTAAATCTATGTTATGCTATCTTGCGTTGAAACAAGGTATGCAGATAATTTCATGTTTCATTTCCGGAGGTACGTTCCTTTCGGCTCTACTAATATGACTACCATAAAAAAAAGCATAGCATAGATCGTCTGGGTTGGGAAAATCATGGTTCTCTTTTTGGAGATACAGAGATGCCTCTAGCATATATTCTTGGTTTTCTTGTTGTGTGGATGTCTTTTACTATATTAATGTTTGCAATATCAAGTAATTGCCCGAGAGCTTTGTTTGATATGGTAGAAGAACGAATCCTATCTTTTGGTGCTAATTCCATGAAACTACCGGACTATGCTTTACCTGCAGTTTAATAGATGTGAGCAGTGAACCATTTTCTGTTTGTAAACTTCTGCTTGAGTTTTGCTTTACCTGTGGTTTTGTTCTTGAGTCAATGAGCGGCAGTTTAATATATGTGAACATCCGCGGGATGGGCAAGCATTTTCTGTGCAGTTTAATATATGCGAGCTATCTTTTATGATTTTCTGTGCACTATATGGTTGTTGCAATGTGAAGGGCAAGCATTTTAAATAGGGCTTGATTGTAATGTTTTTTCTTTGCACTATATGGCTGTTGTTATTTTTTCTTCTTTTTTGGGTCTCATTATAGTACATATTAGTGTCTTAAGAAGTATTTCACTTTTTTTAAGTAATTGTGCTTCTGTGATGTATCTGAGATGTGATCTGAAATATTTAAGTGATATAAATATTTTGTATTTTCATGTATTAATATTTGAACTTTAATTTTAAAAATATTTTGTATTTCATGTTCTTCAATCTTTACATTTATCTCCCCTTTATGATTGTATTAAGAAAGTTGATAAATTTGTAAAAAAAAATCTGCAAATCAGCTGTTTACAAAACGCACAAACCAAACAGCTAAACAATTTATCCAGAACAAGGGCAGATTGGTCATTTATCCAGAATCAGCTGTTTTCCAAATACACAAACCAAACAGCTATTCAAGTTATCTGGATCAGTTGGTTATCAACAGATTATCAGGATAAGTTGTTTATCAGCATAAGCTGGATAAGATGGTTCTCTTTTTGAAGATACAGAGATGCCTCTGGCATATATTCTTGGTTCTCT